GTATAGCAGCTTCCAGAAACCAGTGACAGGCAATCAACGCAAACCAATACAGCTGGTACATGCAAATCTTATTCCAGATCTAAGCCTCAACAGGGAAAACCAATACTTCATGTCCCACACAAAAGGAAAACGCCTCTACATGCGGGGAAGAAACATTATCCAGTGGGGCTGAAAAAACATACCCATTGATCCAGAATCAAACGGACACATGATCAAATTGCCGCATTGACAATGCCACAGCAGTCCCAAGTGTAGGTGTTTTGGCCCTTGGATGCCTGGGTCGACTTCAGTGTGCGGTGCGATCTGTAGGTTTCCCATGCAGTGCTGTTCAGCAGTGACATCCCCAAAATTGTTTGCAACGAGATGTTTCTATCGATATACTGTACCAGTAGTGCAGCGCAAGGCGGCGGCGGAGGTTTCAAAAATAGGAAACCTATAGGAGAGGTTGATTGTTGTGAATCACGGATGGCAGAGCGAATCCACTGATGGACTGAAAGGTGGTTGGAGTTGTTTTTTGGAGTGGTTACAATGGTTGCAGTGGTCACCTGGTCGGTCACCTCACCCACAACTGCTGGATGTAGTGTGGTGTAGTGCAGCTGTAGTTGTAGTTGTAGTCGTAGTGTAATGGAGCTGTAGCTGTGGTGTAGTGTAATTAATGCAGTGTAGTTCCAGTTGCAGTTGTGGTGGTTTAATGGCTGTAGTGTAGTGTAATGCAATGTAGAATAGTGTAGTGTAGTCTAGTGTAATGTAGTGTACCGTAGCATAGTTGTAGTTGTAGCTGTAGTTGTAGTTAGTGTAGCGCCGTGCACTGTAGTGTGGTGTAGTGTGGTGTGGTGTAGTGTGGTGCACTGTAGTGAGTGCAGTGTAGTGTAGTGGAATGAGGTGGAGTGGAGTGGAGTGTAGGTGTAGTGTAGGTGTAGTGTAGGTGCAGTGTAGGTGTAGTTGTACCTGTAGCTGTAGTTGCAGCTGTAGTTGTAGCTGTAGTTGTAGCTGTAGTGTAGTATTGTGTAGTGCAATTGACTGTAGAGTAGCGGAGTGTATGTAGTGTAGTGTAGGTGTAGTGTAGGTGTAGTGTAGGTGTAGTGTAATTGTAGCTGTAGCTGTAGCTGTAGTTGTAGCTGTAGTGTCGTGTTGTGTAGTGAAGTGCGATTGAGTGTAGTGTAGTGTGTGTAGTGGAGTGGAGTGGAGTGGAGTGTAGTGTAGTGTATTGTAATTAGTGTAGTGTAGCGTGATGTAGTGTAGTTGTAGTTGTAGCTGCAGTTGTAGTTGTAATTGTAGTTGTAGTGTAGTGTAGTGTAATTAAGTGTACTGTAGCGTAGTGAAGTGGAATGAAGTGGAGTGTAGTGCAATGCCGTGTAGTGTAATGTAGTGTAGTTGTAGTTGTAGTTGTAGTTGTTGTTAGTGTAGTGTAGCTGTAGCTGTAGCGGTACTTGTAGCTGTAGTGTAGTGTAGTGTATCTGAGTGTAGCGTAGTGTGGTGTAGCCTAGTGGAGTGTAGTGTAATTAGTGTAGTGTAGCACAATGTAGTGTAGTTGTAGTTGCAGTTGCAGTTGGTGTTGCAATTGTAGTGTGGTGTAGTCTAGGTCTAGGTGTAGTGTAGGTCTGGTGTAGGTGTAGTGTAGGTGTAGTGTAGAGTAGTGGAGTGGAGTGTAGTGTAGGTGTAGTGTAATACAAGTAGTGTAGCGTAGTGTAATGTAGTGTAGTTCTAGTTGTAGTTCTAGTTGTTGTTGTCATAGTAGTGTCGTGTAGTGGTGTGGACTGCAATGTAATGTAGTGTAGTGGTGGTTGTAGTTGAAACTGGTACAAAACTCTGACGTTTTGCTCACTTTTGACAAGGTGCACAATCCCCTGCGCCTGCCCCGCGAAACGACATCTGAACGTCCAAAAGCGCTCCATACCTCACAGTTTTTTGCACTTTTGACTTCGAAATGTGCTTCGCACCACAATGGCGTGCACTTTTTCGACATCTCAACTTCCAAAAGTGCTCCGGAGCTCCTGTGTGCTTCGCGCCACAATGGCGTGCACTTTTTCGACATCTCAACTTCCAAAAGTGCTCCGGAGCTGCTATGCTTTGTACATTTTGACTTCCGAATGTGCTTCGCGCCACAACGGCGAGCAGAAGAGTCAGAGAAGAGAAAGAGTCAGAAGAAAGCGCCAAAAGGTAGGGAAATCGCGAATAACTCGGTTTTTCCAATGGTTTGTGGCTCCGGAGCGTCGAAAAGTAGGCTCGCTAAAGCGGCTGGAGCGGAGCCATCTGGCCAAATGAGAGATGAAAAGTTGCACGCCGTTGTGGCGCGAAGCACATTTGGAAGTCAAAACGTACAAATCACACCATTCTCGGACCACTTTTGGAAATTGAGATGTCGAAAAAGTGCACGCCGTCCTCTGATCTTCTCTGTTCTGACTCTTTCTTCTGACTCTTTCTCTTCTCTTTCCAGATGAGAGATGAAAAATTGCATGCCGTTGTGGCGCGAAGCACATTTCCAAGTCAAAACGTACAAAACACCACATGCTCGGACCACTTTTGGAAATTGAGATGTCGAAAAAGTGCACGCCGTTGTGGAAGCACATTTCCAAGTCAAAAAGTACAAAGCACACCATGTTCGGACCACTTTTGGAAGTTGAGATGTCGAAAAAGTGCACGCCGTTGGGGCGCGAAGCGCATTTGCAAGTGAAGAAGCTAAAAACACATCACGTTCGGAACACTTTTGGAAGTTGAGCTGTCTAAGAAGTGCATGCCGTTGTGGCGCGAAGCACATTTCGAAGTCAAAATGTACAAAACACACCATGTTCGGACCACTTTGTAGTTGCGATGTCGAAAAAGTTCACACCGTTGTGGCGCCAAGCACATTTCGAAGTCAAAATGTACAAAGCACCGCATGCATCCCCTGGTGAGCTTTGTGGTTGTGAGAGCGAAGCGCAACTTCTACATGACCCTATTGTAGTCACTCCCCTGAGTCAACGACAACGCCCTGACACCCACGAAGACAGTGGTCCGAAAAACACCAGCAGGAGACACAAACCAATTGCCACTAATGGAGCCAGTTACACTGAAGGCGCTAAGCCCCATCAGAAGAAAGGCAGAGTTCGCGCCACTTTTGGAAGTTAAGATGTCGAAAAAGTGCACGCCGTTGTGGCGCGAAGCACATTTCGAAGTCAAAATGTACAAAGCACACCAGCTTCGGACCACTTTTGGAAGTTGAGATGTCGAAAAAGTGCACCCCGTTGTGGCGGGAAGCACATTTCGAAGTCAAAATGTACAAAACACACCATGTTCGGACCACTTTTAGAAGTTGAGATGTCGAAAAAGTGCACGCCGTTGTGGCGGGAAGCACAATTCGAAGTCAAAATGTTAAAAGCACGAGGGGTTCGGACCACTTTTGGAAGTTCAGATGTCCTTTCGCGTGGCAGGCGCAAGGGGTTGTGCACCTTCTCAAAAGGGAGCAAAACGTGAAGGTTTTGTAACATTTTCAACTACAACCGCCACTACACCACACTACACTCCAATACACTACACTACAACTAGAACTACACCTTCACTACATTCCACTACACTACACTACACTACACTACACTACACTCAATTACACTCAACTACACTCAGTTACACTGCACTAAATTACACTAAACTACACTACATTCCACTACACTACATTACACTACACTACACTACACTACAATACATGACACTACACAACATTCCACTACACTACACTACATTACACTACACTACACTCCACTACACTACAACTACACTACATTCAATTACACTACCCTACACTACACTACATTACACTACACTACACTACATTACACTACACTCCACTCCACTACACTACACTACATTACACTACACAACATTCCACTACACTTCACTAGATTACACTGCACTACACTCCACTACACGACACTACAACTACACTACATTACACTACGCTACACTACATTACACTACACTACACTACATTACACTACGCTACACTACACTACATTACACTACGCTACACTACACTGAATGACACTGCACTACACCTACAACTACAACTACAACTGCAACTGCAACTGCACCTACACTACATTACACTACACTAATGACATTACACTACATCACACTAACTACAACTACAACTACATAAGACTACGCTACACTACGCTACACTAATGGCATTACACTATGCTGCGCTACACTACACCTACACCCCACTCCATTACACTACACTACACCTCACTACACTGCACTCCACTACACTACAGTACACTACACTCAATTACACTACACTACACTACACCACACGACACTACACTACACTACACTACGCTACTCTACGCTACGCCACGCTACACTACACTACACAACACCAACTACAGCTACAACTACAACTGCAGCTACAACTACAATACAAAACGCTACACTACAACTACAACTACAACTATAATTACAACTACATCTACAACTACACTACACCAATTGTATTACACCACACTACACTACACTACACTACGCTACGCTACGCTACAGTACACTACACTACACTACACTACACTATACTACACCTCACTACACAACACGACACAACACTACACAACTCTACACAACACTACACGACACTACGTAACACTACACAGCACTACACAACACAACACAACACTACACAACACTACACGACACTACACAACACTACACAACACGACACAACACTACACAACTCTACACAACACACTACACTACACTAAGTGCATTACACTACACTACACTACACCACACCACACCACACTACACTCAATTACACTACGCTACACTACCCTACCCCACATTGCATTACATTACGTTACATTACATTACATAAAATTTACATTACATTACATTACATTACATTACATTATGTGGAACAGCAAGAGCAAATGATCAAACCCTAAAGGCACCGTGCAAGATGCCAAAAGATGCAGCGCACTTTTGCCGTAGAGTGCGCCCCCTGAGCAGTCGTGCCTGCGGGTCACACCTTAGAGTTCAGATCTGCCTGACATGAGGTCAATTGGTAAGTGCACATGAAAGCAATGGTCTCCACAACTCACAGATTCCCAATAATCTTTGTTGGCCTCATTGTCATGCAAACTGAAAACACCGGTGTCCAAAAGCTGAATCAGCGGACTTCGGTTTCCTGACCTTTTTGTCAGACAGTCCATAAACATGCGAGGATGTGGGATCCATTTGATCACCGCTCCTGTTTCTTGCATTGACTGGCGGATCACTTGCATCCCTATTGCAGTTCTCTTGTCATCTGTGCATCCCACCGTTTCTTTCACAAGATGGTCAAACAGTGATTTCGCGTCCACCACACATAGGCTCTTCTTAAGAGTCTCTTCTGCGTTCGTCTTTGCCAACGCCATCACCCGTTGGTCCTTCAAAGCTTGCTGCCACTCTTTCAAATCAAAGTTCTCTGTGATCAAGTCTTTGTAGACTGTGACGCTCCAAGCCATCTCAAGCCCTTTGAAAGGCTTTGACATTCTGCAGCCAAGGTGGAGTTCACCACTCTGTGCATCTTGCCAGATCTCCAGTGTAGTAGGTTCACCTTTCCTTCACCTTGATTCAGCACCTTTTCCTCTGCACAAATCACGCCAAAAGCTCCTTGTGACGTGCTCCCTTTTGCATTTGCATATGAAGCGTCGGTCACCACTCCCCACATCATCTTCTCGGGTGGTATCGGTTGAATTCGAAGGCACATGGTGGAATCTTTCTTGGCCTCCCTCACTGCTTTATTCAGATCCAAGATGTCCTGAATCTTCATATGATTCAGGGTGCCTGCAATGAGGCTTGCTGCTGCAGCGCAATCAGGTCTGCCCTCCTTGGCAGCCCATGTAAGTGCTCCTACCACTGCTCTGGCCTCAGCTCTCCCTTCCTCGTTGGCATCATCTTCTTTTCTTGATGCCCTTCCAACCTTCAATGGAACTTCTCGAAGACGTTCTTCGATGAACTTCTGCATGTCAATCAGGTATGTTCCATCAGAAGTCTGGCTGAGCCTTCTACCATTGAATGAAACTCCTTTCTCTTCCTCGTCCACGAACTTGAACTTGCCAAACTTAAACCTCTTTTGCAGTTCTTCCATCTTTGAAAAGTGCAGTTCATCTCCTAGTGTCAGGAGATCATCCACCTCCACCACTATGATTCCTCTGAGCCGACCTTCAGAGAAAAGTCTGAAGGTGCATGGGTCCATGCTTGACTGGCGGTATCCAATCTGTTCCAAAACTTTGAGTAAGGACTTCCTCCAATGTAGAGGAGCATCTCCCAAGCCATACGCTCCAGCCAATATTTCGATCAATTGGCTGGGAGACATGCCGGGCAAGCCACCTCGAGGTTGCCGGCAATAAAGTCTTCCTTGAGGACGGACCAAGGGCTCCGACTGCATGAAGGCATTCTTCAGGTCTCCTATGGCACACCTGAACTTTCTTGAGCTTGCCGTTTGGAGCACAATGGAGATCACTACTGTGGTCACAGTGGGTGAGTAACGGTCTAGTGACAGGAGATCGGGATCTCTATCTCCACGAATGCACCATCGTGATTTCATCGTAGGTGGCTCCCCTGGAAGTTCTGCTGGTTTCCATCGCCTGACCATTGTAGAGGGAAGGATGCGGTTGCTGCTTCCAGCCTCCTTCAATTGACCCTCTATCTCATGTGACTCCTCAATCTCCAACGCTTTGACTGCGCCCGATGCCTCCACCTTTGTCCACTCCTCACCATCAGCTACCTTCCATAGAGGCCATTCCTCTGGCTTGATGTCGCACTCTTTGACTTCATCACTTCCTTTTCCCGCAGCTAAAGCTTCCACTATGCGGGTTGAAGAAACTTTGTTCTTGATTTTGAATTCTGTGAAACCTGTCCAAAACCTTCTAGGTCCTGGCTCCTCCTTCTGTTTCCTCCAATTTGCTTCTCTCAGCCTCTGACTTCCGTCTGGGAACTGCTGATAGATCGTTGCTTTGGTTTGGAGAAACTTTACTGGCAGTGGGCACCCCAATTTGTCTTGTGGATAAAAACCTCCTCTTCTTTCGGTATTGTGGATGCGTATCAATGTACGTGATACGTGACTCCTCATGAAACACCCACTCATCGTTCTTTTCTAAATCATCTGTCTCTTCTTCCGTCACGCTCCACAAGGAACTGTCATATGGAGCAAACCTGATGTTTTCCAACTTGTTTCGAGTTGGATGATATCCCTGTAAGGGTGTTCCATCTAACCTCTCATTTCTCATCACTGACTGAGCTGCCCTCCTCATCACTTCTTCTGGCGGCTGTGGTGCTGCCACCGCTCGTGAGTGTGGGCTTGCAATGTTCTTTCCTTCTTCCTCTTCGGCGTTGTCGCCCATTGATGTGGAACTGGATGAAGAGCTTCTTGAATTCCCTTGATTGGGATATGGCCTTGATGGCTGTTCCTGTTCTTCCTCCTCTCTACCATCACCTTCATGAAGTCTGAGCCTTTGCGATGGTGGTCGTTGATCATCTTCTCCTCCTTCTTCTTCTCCGTGTGATGGAGGGACATCCCAATTGGATATGTCTTTGAAAGCTCGCTTGCTCCCCTTTCTTCCAAGTTCAGCCTGCAGCTCTTTGAACTCATCCTTTAGTAAGCCATATGCCTCATTTTCTTCTGGGGTTGCACTTCGCACTTGTTCTTTGGCACACTTCCACATCTCTCCTCGCATCGCAATCCAAAGGTTTGGGCCCTCTTGCATTACCACTGTTCCAGGTCCACACCATGTAGCTGTTCTTCCAGTTGGACCTCCTCCTTTTCGTGGAAGTGGCTTTCTGTAGACAAACACCGCTTCTCCGGCGGAAAAATCTCGCACAACTCTGGGCCTTGCTCTGGATGCTCTCTTGATGCTTTCTTGGGTGGCATGCTTCACAAATGCCTCCTGGGCGGCTTCTCTTATGCTCAACAGCCTCTGGATATCTGCACTGGCCGTAGATCTTTGGGACACTGCATCAAATGGATCGTCACTGGCCATGCTGCCTGGGATCCTCACATTCATTCCAATCTGCCTCTGGGCAGGTGAGTATCCGCTCCGGTTGAACATCCTGTTCTTTGCACTCTCCACTTCATAGACACATGTCACCCATTCATCATAGTTCGATGGCCCAATCTGCTCGACCACCTTCTTCAGCATCCCCTTTGCTAGACCTCCATGCCGCTCGGTGCGTCCTTGCTGCCAAGGGCTTCTGGCCCCTATGGTCCGGATTATGGCTCCGGACTCGTCGACTCTCCGGCAGAAAGAGTTCATAAACTCGCGACCTTGGTCGCAAACGACCATCTCTGGCATGCCAAACGTTCTGACCCAGCTCCTCATGAAACCCTTCCAAATGGTTTCTGACAACCTTCCCTCTAAGGGCTCCAATGCCTGATAGCACGTGGCCCAATCGGTCACGTTGAGTACTGGGATGGTATGTCTGGGATTGTTGCTTGGCATGAACACCACATCTACCCCAATGACCTTCCCTGGAGCAAAATGCCGCGGCAAAATTGAAGGTCTTGCTGCTTTGGGTTGAACGTGTGCCTCACAGATATCATATCGAAACTCCTCTTTGACGAACTTCACCACCTCTGGTCGAGCACGTGCCACTCTCAAGGCTCTCATGAAGCTTTGGGCACTTGGATGCCCCAGGTTGTTGTGGAGTCGCCTGATCTTCCGTTTGTCGCTCTCAGTGACTCTTCTAGGAAGACCCTCCTCCACTTCTTCCTCACTTTCCACCTCATCATCTCCACCAGATCCTCGCAAAACTTCTGGTGATTGATCATCCTGTTCTTCATCATGCCTCGTGACCTCCTGGTCTAATGCATCCTCCAAGTCAAAGGCATACACGCTTGAGCATCCTTCGCGAACATCCTCTTTGAATCCTCTCACCATGGCTTCGCACAGCTTCTCAGGATATCTTTCCGCTTGTTTTGCCCTTCCATTCATCAGAGGAACATGTGTGTGCCCTCCTTGGCACCTCATAGATAGGCGCTTCGCCATATGTTTGCCATTTACCATGAAGTCCGTAGGCTTCTTGCTTGGCCCTCCATCAGGTCCAACCTGAAGACCGTATTGGCATTGATCGCCTCTGACTCTCTCAACTCCATCCAAAGCAAGCACTCGTTCTACACATGGTTCCTTCCATCCTCTCGAATTTGCAGGGTGTTCAAAGATTGCCCATCTTCCCCTGCGGACCTGCCACTCGTACAGCTTCATGGCGAAGCTGAGATGTTCCAGACCCTCTCCAAGTAGTGCAATCGCCCTTGACTGCTCCATCTTGCTATAATTGAGGTTCTGAAGGCATGAAAATGGTCCACATGGGGGACATACAACCAAGAGCTCAGGGTCTTCTTGAACTATCTTCCGAAAACAACTGTTTCGATCTGCGGGCTTTGTGAAGTCGTAGCCCGTCTTCAAGTCAAAACTGGATCCCTGCTGCAAGCCCATCTTCTGTGCTTTGGCTGCAACCCTTGGTTCGGAGTAAACCTCACTGACGGTGAGGTTTCTCATGTTTCTTTGAATTCTCTTTCTCAACCCTTTCTTCATGGTTCCCCAAATTTCCTCAAAAATGTCCTCCCCACCTGGCTCCTCCACTGCCAAAATGGCTTCCTGTTCTTGATTCTGTGTGGGCAAAATGCCCTGGTGAAACTTCCAACTCCTCCTTCCTTCATCCAAAAGACTGGATGCACTAACCGAGTGCTCGGTTCTTGACTTTCCTCCTCAAGTTGCATCTTGACTGCTGTGTTCCAAGCTTTCCGTGCTCCTATCTTCACTGCCCAGGGGGCGTCTTTGATCATCTCCTCAGCCTCCTCGTTGTTGAGATCTCTCATCCACTGCTTCCAGGGCTTTGACGAAGGCTCCAACACTGGAGACGCAGCCCGGGTCCTCGCTCCTCCCGAGTCCCCGCAGCGATGTCCAGGTCGGCCATTTGCCCCTGTTTCCTTCTGGCCTGGCTCTGGAGACGCCGTCCAGGTCCCCGCTCCTCCCGGGTCCCTGCAGCGATGTCCAGGTTGGCCTTTTTCTCCTTCTGGAGTTGATTCACCTTGGCCTGGCTCTGGAGACGCAGCCCGGGTCCTCGCTCCTCTCGAGTCCCCGCAGCGATGTCCAGGTTGGCCTTCCTTTTGGCTCTCAACTCCTCGGCCTAGCTCTCGAGTCCCCGCAGCGATGTCCAGGTTGGCCTTGAGATGGAGAGATCTCCACAACTTCTTCTTGAAACCTCACTCTGGCATAGGTCCTTGACTTTGCATGCTCCCCTCCGTCGTGCCTTGAGCCATCAACTTCTCCCTCAACTCCACTGCCTGCTTCATCACCTCTTGGCTCTTCACCGGATCGCTCATCACCTCCTCGACCCTGGATTCTCTTGCCAACGCTGTGAGCCAAATGAGCTGGCTGTGCATCTGTTCGATCTGAGACTGGTGTTGAAGTTGTCGTGACTCCATCACTTCCTGATGCCTGGCCTCCGCTTGCTCCACCACTGTGCCCACCATGTTCCTTGCACCTTCGTGTAGAGCCTGCTGCATCATCAGGACTGAGTCCTCCCTCTCCATTTCTTCCATCATTTTGTTCATCTCTGGGCTCACCTCGGGGTCCTTGACCGTCGCTCCCTTCAGTTGTTCCATCTCCATTGGATCCCACGCGAAGTAGTTGCAGATGTGGTTGGGGCACTTGAAGAAGTGCCGACCCTTCGTGGGCCCTTCCTTCTTGACTCTTAGACGAGTTGCTGGGAGACCACACTGACACTTCAGGCTTACCTCCGTCATCTTGGTCGTTGTGGATGACGCGGGAGATGCCGTTCCCAATGCACTGGATGGGGTTCCTGGGATCATTGTCAAAGATTTGGGAACCGCTCGGAGACTTGCTGGAGCTGGATTGGTTTCCACCTTCCATCGAGCATGACACTCCTGGCACCACACCTCCTTTTGGTATTCGTTCGCTGCACCCACCAGGCTCTCTTTGGGATGCACGCACACACTTGCAGGAACTCTCGGTGGTACCTGGAGTTTCGTGGTGGTAGAGGAACTCCATGAATCCGCTTGTACTCCAACTCGTCCTGTTTGTTCAAAGGCTCTCGTAAGACCGGCAACGGAGGTGCCTTCGGCATTGATCCCACATGAGGCAATGATCCAGAGGGCAATCCACCTCTTTGCCATGCCTGCCCCATGCTCATGGCCCTTCTTGCCTCGCGCATGCTCTCCTCTTGGAAACGCATGATCAACTCGAGCACCTTCAGCATCAGTGCATGCCATCCCGCACAGGCTCGACGTTGTTGAGGGGTCTGACTTGGGGTCCCCAGAGAGTCTTCGTCCTGGAGATCCTTGAGTCGCCTCAGCAGCCCAGCCATCTGCGAAATGAGAATGCTGATCGTGGGAATGCAGCCTTGAGACCGTTGACATGGCTGCCGCACAAAACTTGACATGATTGTCCTTGTCGATCACAAAGTCTTCTCGACACATACCTCTGACCTGTGCCTCTCTTGGAATGTCCCACTCACCGTTGGCAAACTCAGTGATGCTGACCGATGCATGTCCCGATGGCAAGATAGACATGGTTGTATGAGTTCCATGCTTTCGGAACAAAACTGTTTCAGTGGAAAAATCAATCACCGCCCTCAGACCCCTCAACAAACGCACTGGAATAAGAAGAGGAACATCTTCAGCAACCACTGTAGCTTCTAGCACTCCGTTTACACCTCCAAGTCCAAGTGGAATCTCTATCACCTCTCTGACCTTTGCCTCTCCTCCTACACCACGTGCCTGAGCTTTACGATTGGTTCTTTTCACCTTCAAACCACATGCTGCCAACTCTTTCTCCAATTTCCCCAAAGCATCTTCCCCAATGAGACCCGACTGTGCTGCAGTGTCCACCAAACCAAATGCACCATGAGTTGTCACCCCGCAAAAAGAGCTGGACTGAAATACCTGTGATGACATAGCAAATGATTCAGGGTTTTCTTCAGAGATGGTGGACACATGAACAAAGCCCGATCTTCCCGACAGACTTGATGGAGCGCTGCTTTTCCCCGTGGATGTCGCCGCAGAAGATCGGCTCCTAGCATAGTCGTCAGGCGGACTGCTACATTCACGAGCCCAATGCACAACAACTCCACACCTCGCACATCTTGTGCGAAGCTTCAAACTTTCAATGTGAACTCGACTGCCCTGGTTGAACTGAAGTCCTCCTTTGTTGCTGCTGCCACCAACTGATATCTTTCCACCAAGAAATCCCTTTCCACGTCCCTTTGACCAGCCTCTGCTCGTCTTTTGATCTCTGATCGCCTTCCTCACCTGCTGCTAGGTTGCCAGAGCTTCATGCAAATCCTCCTCATTGAAGATCTGATCCATGTCGCCCTCATTGACGTAGACATAGTTCTCGATCTCGTGGTCACTTTCTTGCTCCATGGTGGCAAACACATCTGCCGCCTCACTCGCAGCTCCCTCTTCTGCAAGAAACGTCTTTCCACCACGGTCCTTGTGAACCTTCTCCAGCTTTCTGAGCGCCTTGACTATGACCTCACGGCCATACTGACCAGCCGTCCAAGTGACTACCTGGTCCTCCTGAGTTGCATTCAAACCAGCTTGACGGTAGATGATGTACCGCCAGCTCCTTGAAATTCTTGTCCATCCTAATGATGTAGTCTTGCATAGTCTCTTTCTGTCTTCTCGCCTCTCCATACACCGCCCTCTCGAATGCCTTCGGCATCGCAGACTCAAGGTGAGGCTGGAAATGCTCCTTGAGCTTCTGGACAATCTCATCCACACCTTCTTCGGACTGCAGCTTCGCAACTGACACCTCATCAGCTGCTGCCCGTGCGCTGCCGGACAATTGCTTGAGCACCTTCACCGCGTGCTTCAACTTCGGAATGTCCGTCTCCCACTTCCACAGCTCCAAGTCCCTAAGATAGCGCCTCAACAAGTCTGGATTGGATCCATCAAAACTCGGCGGGGGATCCTTGTCTCTAAAGGTCCCATTAGGCCCATTCGTCACCACTGACGCGTCGTCAGTCGCCATTGCATCTAACGCAGGACTCCGCTGCCACTGTGGAACAGCAAGAGCAAATGATCAAACCCTAAAGACACCGTGCAAGATGCCAAAAGATGCAGCGCACTTTTGCCGTAGAGTGCGCCCCCTGAGCAGTCGTGCCTGCGGGTCACACCTTAGAGTTCAGATCTGCCTGACATGAGGTCAATTGGTAAGTGCACATGAAAGCAATGGTCTCCACAATTCACACATTACATTACATTACATTACATTACATAGAATTTACATTACATTACATTACGCTACACTCATTACACCACCACAAATGCAACTGCAACTACACTACACTAATTACACCACACCACAACTACAACTCCACTACGCTACAACTGCAACTACAGCTGCGCTACACCACACTACATCCAGCAGTTGTGGGTGAGGTGACCGACCAGGTGACCACTGCAACCATTGCAGCCACTTGCGGATTTCGATGGATTTGTGCAAATTGCTGCGAACTTAAAAGCAATGCTGCATGCCTCTTCGAGACAGTCATGCTGCAGCTGTTCGAGTAGCCTCACCAAAAGCAGCAACAAGATTTTAGGTGAAGGTTGATCACGTGATTTCTTCCTCCCCTCGAATTTGCGTACATTGCAATCAGGACAAGAAATACATAGACATATTTACTTTCAGGGAACATGTAAATTGTAAAACCAAACATGCCAAACATTGCCAAACTAAGAACATTCGGAAGTATGCAGTATTTGACCCTCAGTGCAGCTGATGAGCAGAGCATTCTGTAAACTGATGGCTTTGCCACGACAGATCCAACCGTAACTACTGGAGGCTGCTCCAGGTCAGAGCTGAACCAACAGCCAAACTGCATCTGAGTGCAGCATAAAGACTCTCCCCTGAACCACCTAGAAATATCTAGAAATACCCAAATCATCTGCTAGTAACCTTGGAAAAAAAGATGAAAAACATCCTAGATCCTGAGCTCCTGAAGATTTCCAAAGAGCTGGAAGCTGCCGCATGCAACTCTACATGCATTCGGACTAATCTTGACAATCTCGTGCTGCCATGCAACCGTTCTGCCAACCTGGAGTGACAAAAACGGTACAAAAGGTGTCAGTCAATTTCGAACTTGGGCAAATCGGGCAAATTGTATCAAATTGTGGACACGGAAGCAAAGGGAAGCTAAGCAGAAAGGTTTCATTCCGCAACAATTTGGTTATAGATGGGGAAGGTATGTTCTGCTTATATTCTGATTATATTCTGCGAATTTCATCAAATTTCTACATATTCTTATAATCTTTGATCTGTCGCTGCTGCACCGCCCCACCTCTGTGGTGCCCGCTGTGTAGCAGATGCCAGCTGCTCGGCAAAAGCGGTGAGGACTGCAAAGCAGCGACTGATTTGAGCTCTGGGACCAGCTGAAAAAACCCTGCGTCCTATGTGCCAAGTGGCACCAGGTCATTGTATTGTGGATTGAAAATGATCGAAGCTCAAAATTCCTCTTGTTGGCACAAAATTGTACGCGACAAAGGTCTCTTTGGTGTGTGCAACTGCGACACCTGCAGGCTCGGACTGAGCGCGATCACCACCTCAACAGAAACCCCAAGCTTGTCCCTTCCCTCAGGCTTACCTTGATCGGCTGAAACCTATTTTGCAGCTACAAGTACTGCTCTATTTCACACATTTTCGCACCATGATTTCTACTGCCATACAAAGTCAGCCCGACATTTTCCACGGCGCCTTCTGCTGGGGGAGCTTGAGACACCTTGGCCCGAACCGGAACATGCCTGCGGGTTGGTCTCAGGAACCACCTGGAGTCATTCTTTTACTGAAAAACTGCAACAGCCTATGCCGGAAAGGGCATGAAACAAGAGAGTCAAGATTATCTTCACAATCGAGGCATGGAAGAATTGGAAATGGAACTCATAATTAGTTGGTCTAAGCCAATGTCAAGTCCTAAAAATAAATAAATAAATGAGGAAAAAAAAAATATATATATCAACCCTGGATTAATAAACCCCTAGGCTAGGCATGTCCACAACCCTCTGGGAACATGTTCCACGGGATCTAGGGCAGCAAGCCGGTTGCTGCCCTAGGGGAGTGCCAGGAGTATGAGATGGGAGCCCCAAGGTATCATTTATAGGATTCATAAAAAAAATATATGCCCTTGGGGCATGGCAGATTCATAAGTTTGTATGGTCAGAAAAAAGGATTATGGTCAAAAACAATTGGTTCAACCAAAAATCTAAATGTATAAAACAAAGATAAACTAGTTGAGAAATTGTTTTACCTCCAAAAAGACCGTTTTCAATCAACCAACACTTGGCCCTCAATCAACCAAAGATTGGTTCTCAACCAGCCCGAACAAAAATGAAATACCTGAAAACAATTTCGCTGAAAAAAACAGGGGATTGGCAAAAATCGCATGTGTTTCCCGAATGTGGCAAATCTGTGAAAAAGGCGATCGCTTCCAATTCAACATGAGGTTGGACTTATGCAGTTCATTGCTTTCATGTTTCCCAGTTGGGTGCGGAACGGCGACATGAAAACAGAGTGAAAAGGCCAAAAAAATGACAAAAAGTGAAACATGTGTTTTGTGCAATTCTGCTGCCACAAGGATAGGAGCATAGCGGATAAAGTTTGCACTAGAAGAGCAATAGCGGATTTTTTTGCAATCATAAATGTCGGGCGCTTTCACAAAAGTTGCAAGGAAACCTGCCATTCTATCTGCAGCGAAAAAGTTTGTAAATACTGACAGGAGATTTACAGCAACTTTGGCATTCTATACAGCAGCTGGCTTTGGGTGGCCAGAAGTTAGCTTTGGGGGGTTCCAATTTTAGTTGCAGGCCCGCCTTACATTAGTGACTGTCCAATGGTTGTATATTAATTTCGAGCAAATCAAAACTGGGTGATCCAAAAAAGGTTATACATGGAAAAAATGAATAAATATGAGGAATTCAGAGAATATTAAGAAATTCACGGGGTCAAGTTGCAATGCCACCAGGCATCATACCATTACACCGGGAAAAGCGATCAGTTGTTGAATGAAACAGATGCATGATGCATCTCTCGAAGCCCCACTGAACATTCAAAAAACAAGTGATGGTTTGAGGGATCAAATACTTTTGGGGCATATCCAAAAAAGTATATGACCTAAACCATCAGAACGGAAGGTCAGCTGTCAGGGTTTTCTGCCTTTCGAGCCAATGTCGGTGCTAGGCTCTTGCCCTGATGTGACCATGGCTGGGGTAGTGACATGGTAATAGGGGCCGTGCAATTGGCACAGGAAATACACAAAGGCTACAACAAATTTCAAGCAGAATGTTCAACTTTGTGAGCTGATGATTTGACAATAAATCGACAAACAATTGCAGCGCGTGAAATTTTTAAAAGGAGTACAAGCGTAGATTGGCAGTTTGACAGTTTGACTTAACTTCGAAGTTTAACCAGCACGCTACTACTGCCAGTTCATTGGTTCATCGTACTACAACGCTCATGGCAGACGTTTGCCAGGGTCACTGGGTCGACGTTTTGGGGGTTGAGGTTGCCCTACATTCAATCAAGTCTTGCAAGACTTAAGATGTAATGTCTCCAGGGCCCTCAAAATCGTTCAGACACTTCATGACTCATGACCTTCTTGAATTTCAAATGAAGCAGTAACCATGCAAACATATAGCCACTTGTGGAAGGGCCGTATACCATGACCATCACTCGCCTGTAATTATTCACCGGGTCACCACAACCATGATGATCTGATGAGCATTATCAATCAATCACACAGCCGCTTGATGTTCAGCACCACCACATGATTCCAAGCTGGAACAAAAGGAGTGACATGGAAGCATGGGCAGCATGGAAATAAAGACTACGAGAAAGCGACAACTAACCTGTATGAACTATAAATCAGCCATTGAGCAGCCAATCATCAGCAACGACAAACACAGTGTGCCCCTTCTTTGCATGCTGCATCATGAATTGAAAAATGTATCGTTTATTGGTTTATTGTTATTTACCTAGCTGCTAGCTATTTTATACTATAAAGCTGTCGCGCTTTCAATCTTTGCATTTTCCTTTTTATACAAATATATATATATTATATTTATGTTATATATTGATTTATTTCTTATTTTATGTACTTACCTACTTATTGACTTTCATATTTACATATACATATATAGAAAAATACTCATACTAATTTATTTACGTATTTATTTATTTATGCGGCCGGCTGCCTAAATAGAACGGTGTCCAACACAGAGAAGATACAGGCTACAGGGGACAGAAGACACAAAACTTGTAGGCAGTCCTGAATTGAAATCATGGAGCGAATCATGTCAGCTGGCCATTTTTCGGGATATCCAGCAGCTTCGTTTCCATCGCCTCAACTGCAGCGTCTTCTTCTCCCGAGACTAAGCTTGAAGAACTTTGCCCGGCCCTAGGCCAAACCCCCAAGCTATCTAGCTTCGGGCGGCCCGCCTAAATGCCAAGATTCCACGCCAAGTTTCCTTGCGCGGTCTGCGCCTGTGGTTTCCGCCCTTGAGCCACGATTGTGGAAGTCGTTTTGGACACCAACATTTCCAAAAATTCAGGAGGGCCATGCCCTAGGGCAGGCCGCCCTACGCTGACCTCTTGGAACCTTAGGGCGGGCCGCCTTGCGCTCAGTGAGAACAGTCTAGGGCGGGCCGCCCTAGGCTGAGTGAGAACAGTCTAGGGTGGGCCGGCCTAGGCTGACCTCTGGAACCTGGCCCTAGGGCAGGCTGCCCTAGGGCGGGCCGCCCTAGGCTGAGTGAGAACAGTCTAGGGCGGGCCGCCCTAGGCTGACCTCGGAACCTGCGCCTAAGGCAAGGTGTCGTAGGGCGCTCAGTGAGAAGAGTCTAGGGCGGGCCGCCCTAGACTGACCTCTGGAACCGCCCCAGGGCAGGCTGCCCTAGGCTGAGTGAGAAAAGTCTAGGGCGGGCCGCCCTAGGCTGACCTCGGAACCTGCGCCTAAGGCAAGCTGTCCTAGGGCGCTCAGTGAG